CAGAGAGGGCAGAACGGAGATGCAGCCTTTTAGTGCTTATTGACACAAACAGTCCTATTATTGTTCTGAGGAACTGAAAATTCCAGAAGTAACTATGAACAGAAAAAAAGACAGAAAAACCTAAAATCCACCTTTCCTGTTTCTTCAATAGTTAAGTTAATCAAGCCCTAGATGTTTACTTGAACAACACCTTGGGTTACATTTTTTTACTATTTAAAAACATTAAAATAAATATGTATCTAAATGTGTATATAATTATTATCTCAAATGGAAAGTGTCAGGATCAAAAATAAACCTAGGAAAATGTCTTAGCTCATTACAATGTCATTAGAGAAGCACTTCTGTCAAAACTGATACATTTCCCCATGGTAATAATAAAACATCAAAGAAAATATGTATTCTAGGAAAACACACCTCAAAGGACACATAGACAGATTTCCAGGCTGCTCTCCTACAAAGCTGGCTGTGAGCAAATTGTGCCATCACAGAAGCAGAGTTCAGCATCATCTGCTCAACTGCTTACATGGGCATCAAACTCATCATTATATTTTTAATCTGAATCTTCTTGCAGAGAGTTACAGCACAATAGTTCTAATTTCAGGTTTTCTGGTAGGTAACCACATCATGGAAACATCCTTTGTGCTGTTTATTATCACAGCTCCAGCCTGCCAGCACACAGATGTTCCAGATTCAGGGGTTCTGTTTGCCTTTTTCAAAAGAACACAAAATGGAAACAGTGCAACAGGAGCAATTTTAGCAGAGTCAGAATGCACAACAAATGAACAAAGTGAGCCACAAGACATCTACTGCACAAAGAATTCTTCATTCCCAGCTCTGTCTTTTTTCACTTGTTGTTGTTTGTGTCTTAAAAAGTTCTGTCAGCAGAACCTCCTTCCTGCCCCAGAGAGGGGCTCCTAATTTATGAATGACAGCCAGTTAAAGAAGCTCTTTGGGATTTCCCTGGCAACAAACCCATCCTGATAGTTACTGCAATGAGACCCAACAAATTCACAAAGTCACTGCCCCTCCTGCCGTGCTCTGAGTCAGCAAGGTCATCTTAGAGAGCTGCTGCCAGTCTTGAGCATCATTCCCCTCCCTGCAGATCACATTTACCTGCAGTAGGATGCTTACAGACATCAGCCTTCCTTGCTTTTTCTAGGGAAATTATCCCTTAAAAACTCAATAGTGTGTCTAAACAGTGCAGGTGTTATAACAAAAACAAGGCCCAAACCCATGCAGACAGCAGCACATTTCATGGTCAGTAACCCCTCCCTTCTCACTACTGATACTGAACCTCCAGATAATACAAGTTTTAGAAAGCAGTGGATTAAAGTGGATTCACCACAAGTACTGCAGCCAAGGATGTTTTCAAGGCTGGTATCCACAAAATGCAGTGTAATGAGTTCCTGTGCTCCTTTATTTATGTTATGGTAGCACAAGACTTTCCAAAAGCATTTTCTTTCCTGTCTAAAGGGATTTTCCTGTGACTGCTGTAGTGAACTTCAAGCCTGAGCTACTCTTTACATGTCCAATATCTTCACATAAATAAATAAATATAAAATATATATAAAATATAAGATAAAATATAACTGTTGTGGTGGTTGTATAAAAGATGAACAAGTATTTTTGTTTTCCACTTCATGGTCCTGCATTTTCATTTGCAAAACATATATATATATATATATATATATATATATGTAAATGTATATATAGAAACATATAAATACACCTATACACACATATATATATATGTACACACACACATCACACACCCCTTTGTGGGTATCACTCCCTTAGCAGCTCCTGAGGTTGCAATTTGATGATTTGTGAGCTGCAGTCTCAGACCTCCCCTCTTCCTCATTTCCACTTCCCTGGTGTTCCTGGTGCTCCTCACCTGAGCTGGGAGCATCCGACTGAGGCAGCCAAACCAGGAAAAATCTGGCCCACAAAAAACTCATGTATAAAATACAAAATAAAAAACCAAACCAAAACAAAGCTCCCAACCTCCCGCCTGCCACCATCCCCAGATCTTTTTGCCTTTTTAGATCCAGATTGGGGATCAAGGTTTAGCTTTATTTTAAAGTAACAGTAAGGTTTTAGTCCAGCATCACTCGCTTCAATACTTGCTAATCATCTGCAAGAAATTCTTGCTATTGAAATTTTTTCTGAGTAATCCTTCAAATCTTTTGAGGAATGGTTTTCCAATCATCACCATACAGTGGATGCCTGTCCAACTTGGTGTTACTTCTTATAATACTTGCTTAGATTCTCTTAATAAAATAGATCTTGTAAAATCATATAAGTTTTCATATTGAAGTCTCCGTGAAGGAGAGACTGCAAAATAAAATTCATGCTCATAGAGTTGATAATGCGTTATTTATCCTACAGGAATGCCTCTATAACAGCAGTCAGAAGGGACAACCCAAGTACTAAGGCTGTTAAACTTATGGGGGGGAGGGGGGGAAATCACAACTCAAAACAAAGAAAAACAAAAACCCCAAACAAAAAAAAATACATTTAAAAAAACACAAAGCACTTGGAAACAGAGGAAAAATACAAAGTTGAAGTCTCTTTTTTGACCTTAATTCATGTCCATTCTGCCCTCACCAAAGAGTGTCAGGAATCTTATCTGCAGAAACAGAGCAGGAGCTGTTTGCAATGTCAGCTCTACAAGCAAAGATCCTATGCATAGAAAAGAAATAGGAAATGAACATCAAGATCATAAACTGGTAATGAAAGACAAAAGGTATTAAAAAAAACCAAAACCCACAACTATTTGAATTACTTGTAATTCTCTCCGTGGCCACAACAATCTGTAGGCACAGCTGTGAAGCTGCCAAAAAGCTGTTTAATTGAAAATCTGGCATGTGTTTTTTACTACCTTACTCAATTTTTAAAATGTTATCTTAATTGCCAAAAATGAGAGGGAAGAACATTACTTCCTTTTGGGAAAAAAAAAGAAAATTATTTTTATTCATCATATGTATGAAGAATAAAATGCCCCAGCACAAATATATTGATATTTATAACTAAACACTAAAATGCCAACTCCTCAGTAGCATAACTCACAACTATTTACTTGACCCTTCAAAGTCTCCTTCCCAAGGGATCTTTTCCCTGTTTATCTCAGCCAGCAGTTCAGTTTTACAAATCTGAGCTGTGGTTCAGGAAAGGCATTTAATTAAAACCAAGGCAGAGGAATCATCTGCAGGTGATCAGGTAACAGCAGCAAGAAACATCTCCCACTGTGCCCAATTCTTCTTTGGGTCAGTGGCAGATTTCCCAGAAGCAGGAGACAGAGAAGCTTCTTCTCTTTTGTGTCTTGGCAGAAGGATTCCAAATTCTCCACCTTGAAACTCCCATTGCTGTGGGCTTTTCTGAATGGAAACTTTTCCCCTGTGCTAACAGACCCATTGAGTGCTCTCTGTTAGCCTGATTAAGTCAGTCAAAACCTGAGGAGAGATTTTAAATACATTCACTGGGCTTTGGGTCAGCAAAATGTAAATTAAGTATAGATGCAGTTCATAGGAATCCTGCAAGAAGTGGCTTTTCATTACCCTCATGGAGATCAAGGAGAGTTGAGGACATCAGATCCTCAATCTCTGACGGAGGTCTAAGAACTTTTCAAACGCTACCATGAATGTTTGAAAGCTTCAGTGTTCTCAGTAGAGGCTGGAGTGACATCTTTTTCACATGCTGTAAAAAAACCCAATTCTACTTCCTAACATGCTGGGACTTTTCTGAAATATCTAGCAGCCTATTCAGGGCTCAAGTCAGAACAAACTTGAGTTCTTAAATGTTATCTTCTCATTGGGAAATCAACATTTTCTAGTCTGAATTTAAAGCCATTGTCCTGATGAATATAAAAGTGAGATGAAGTGGAGGCAAAAATAAAAACACCCACAGATATTTGAGTTTAGTTATGTATCACTCTGATTTCACTTTCTTACCTCTCCCCTCCCCAGGAACCATTTCCATCACCCAGACTGGGATTTGGGACCTTGGTGTAGCCTGGCAGTAACACAGGTACAGGGGCACAGTGTGTGCCTGCAGTCTGCTGAGAAGACACATGCTCAGTATTCCAATTTTCAGGAAATATCCCAGATCTTAATTGCTCTGTAGTTAGTGTGGCTGAGGAAATAGGTTCTTAATTTGTCTGGCTCCAGCAGAAACATTTTTCAGGTTAACTCAGTAGACAAAGGGTTTTTTGTTTTGGTTTTTCTGTTGTTTGTTTGTTTTTAATGGGAAACATTTCCTTCTTCAGAATTGGAGTTTAAGTGATGTTGCAATGGTTAAACAGCAGCCACAAAGCAGGTCTAACATTTAACATCATGATACGGTGACTCTTCAGGCCTCTGTGCCAGGGAGCACAGAGCAGAGTGAGGAAGGAGCAGTTTCCCTGGCTCAGCCTGGTGGCACAGACAGAACCACGGAGCCTGGGTGCCCCCGAGCTGGCTCCACATGGAAACCCCCAGTCCACCTGCCCTATTCCTGCTCTTTGGGAACACGATGGGCACCGTGCCCAGTCCCAGAGTGACCAGCCCCAGTGTGTCCAGGTAATCCAGCACAGCCCCTGGCAGCACTCGCCTCCCACGCAGGGCTGCTGGCTGAGCTCCGGAGCCTGCAGCCAGCACAGCACAGATGGCATCTGCTGGAGAGTCCATCACGAGCTCTCCGTGCCTCCTTTCACAACTGAAGCAGCAGCACCACTTCCTTTCCCCCGGGTTTTTCTGTCCTGGCTCTTGCAGGCAGGGGAGAGCAGGAATGAGCCCTGGCTGCACTGTACTTAGGGTGACTGTGCCCCTCTGGATTATCTCTGGGTGGTTTTAAATGCTATATTCTTGAGTTTCTGACATGGCAGGGTCAGCAAGGATGTGGGCTGAGGAACAAAACACCAGACACTCGTTTTCTTCTCACTTTACTTGCCTCTGCTATGTTGAAGTAATGTATTGTGGCTTTTTTTCCCAGGAATTTATTGAATATTTCTTTTTTTCTTTCAGCTATGACGAATGCGTGGGGCCAGGAGCAACACAAATATATATTCCCACAGATGATCCCCCCCCATATTCCCTTACGGACCCTTGCCAAAGAAATGAAATACCCAGAAATACCTGTATCAGGCAGGAAGAGGAAGCAGCCTCCGGGACTGCAGATGCTGCAGTGAGGCTGCAGGGCTTGCAGCAGCCCAGCTCGGCGCTGGCGGTGATCTCGCAGTGCAGGGGCTGCTCCGCCCTGCGGGACAGCGGCGTGTGAGCACAGCTCCAGCGGGAACACGGGGCATGGAACACGCTCCCGCTGCCAGCAGAGCCCAGATCACCGCAATGCAGGCGGCTCTTTCCTTCAATTCTTCTGAAGAACTCAGACCAATGGAAGAAGAAAACTTCTGGAAGTTTTACCAAATTTATATCTTTGAACAGGGGTACAATGGGATTTTTCTTTTTACAGTGACTTTGGCAAGTTTACCTGAATTTCTCTGTTTGTGTTTCAAAGTGTTCCATGGCATCACACAGCATAAAAAAGCAGCAGAGACAAGCAGTGCAGCTGACCTTTCTGAAGCATTGCAGAACCCATTGAAATCAGCCACTATTATGAGGATAAATGTTATGCAGTCAAGCCTACTTGTTGATTTTACAAAACTTCGCATGTTTTAGAACAGAAGGAAAAAGAAGAGGCTTTTGTTGTCATTGTAGGTGTCACTAGTACAGCTCATTCAGTGTATTGACAACAAAGCATTTTTAAGTAACTCTTTGGCTGTGTGTTTCAGTAGGCAAAGCACTACTACAGAAATTATTATTATCAGTGCCATGTAGAAGCAAAAGAAAATATTAATAATAATTTAATATTCACATTATTCCTTTGGAACCAGGCTTTCCAGGTCACAGCAAAGCCTGTTGCAAGTCTTCCTCAAACAAAACCATCCACAAGTGGCAGAGAGGTGGCCGTGGGTCCCCACAGTGCAGCTGGCTACAGCGGCTGGAGCTGCAGCACGGC